AAAGAGCTCAACTGCCATTTGGACTAATCTATAGTTTATTACTATATGACTTGGCTGAATTCAAAGAGTATATTAAAGAAAATCTAGCTAAGAACTTCATAAGCCATTCCAAATTTCTAGTAGGAACTCTAAGTTTATTTGTAAAGAAAAAAGATTGATCATTGTAGATGTGTGTCAATTATTGAAGATTCAATAAGATCACCATCAAGAACAAGTACCCACTATCTTTAACATTTAGACTTCTTAATCAATTGAATCAAGCTAAAATCTATTTAAAAAAATAGATCTACAAAAGACATATAATTTGGTATGCATTAAAAAAAGAGATTAATAGAAGACTGTATTTTGAACCAAGTATAGATATTTTAAATATAATATCATGTATTTTGAATTTATAAATATACTAGTAGCTTTTGAACATCTAATAAATGATATTTTTTTAAAGTTTTTGGATGGTTTCATTATCTATTATCTAGAAAATATCTTAATCTATTCTAAGAATGTAAAAAAACATAATCTTCAAGTTTATTATATACTACAAAATCTAAGAGATACAAGATTTTAGGCTAAAATAAAAAGTATATATTTTAAACTATTCAAGTTGACTTCTTACGATATATCATTTTAAATGATAGACTTGTGATAGGTTCTAAAAAAGTTCAAATTGTTACAAATTGGAAGATCTTCAAAATCGTAAGAGATGTCTAATGCTTTTTTAAATTTACTAACTACTATAAAATCTTCATCAAGGACTTCTTTCAAATTGCTACTCTACTTAAACATTTGACTTGTAAAGACAAATTTCAATGGTATTAAGAAATAAAAGTAATATTTGAAGCTTAAAGATAGCCATTGTTTTTAGACTAATTTTATATTGCATTAGCTTTTCTAACTCATTTTTTATGAAAATAAATTTATCAAACTTTGCTTTTGATATTGTATTGTCACAAATGAGAAGACATGATAAACTTCACTTAGTAGCTTTTTGTTCTAAAAAAATTTCAGCACCTAAGATCAACTACAAGATCTATAATAAAGAACTTCTTGAAATCATAGATTTACTTCAAAAATAGCACCATTATCTAGAAGGTTTTTTGAGTCCAGTTATCTTATATATGGATTATAAGAATTTTGAATATTTTATGTCAACATGGATTTTGAATTGTTAGAAAGCCCGCTGGAGCATGTCTTTGTTAAGATTTAAATTCAAGATTATTTATTGACTAACAAAACAACAAGATTTATTAAACACACTCTCTAGAAAATCTTACCTTGCATCAAAAGAAAGAGATGTTGCTTTTAATCAACAATAGACAATTCTCTTAAAACTAGAGCATCTTCATTTGTGAGCAATAAAATCAATGCTAATTGTTAATTTAACTTCCATTAAGCAAGTTCAATCAAGCATGTCTTTTGATTCTTTTATTTTTGATATTAAAGAAAATCTTTCAAAGTTTTATGATACTTTCAAAATTAAATTCAAAAAAATTTAGTATATTTTGAAGTTCCAAAAGTATGTATGTTCTAAAAGATAAAACTCAATTTTGTGTTTTTCAAGCTTGTCATGACTTTCTAATAGTAAGATATTTTATATACAATAAAACTTTGGAACTAATATCTAGAGATTTTTGGTGGTCTCAAATATAAAAGGTGTTCAAAGATTTTGTACAAACTTGTGATATTTGTTCAAGATCATAAACTCCTCATCATCAATCTTATGGACTTTTTTTAGCCATATTCATTTTAGAACAAATATGGTCTTTTGTTTCTATGGATTTTATTATGGATCTTCCAATCTAACGTTCTTATGTCTCTATATTTGTGATAGTAGATCATTTCACAAAGATGGCTGATTTTGTACCATATACAAAATCTATTATAGATGAAGAAACAATCAAGCTTTTTCTTGACAACATTTATTACTATCATGGATTGTCTAGAAATATTATATTAGATATGAAAACTCAATTTGCATCAATATTTAGTAGAACTCTTTTTAAGATTCTAAAAATAGACATAAAACTATCTTTGGCTTTTCATCCTCAAATTGATGGACAAATAAACTATGTAAATCAAGTTTTGGAGTAGTATTTGAGGTGTACCATCAACGACCAATAAAATGATTACATAACTCTTTTGCCACTAAAAAAATTTGCTTATAATAATATAGTACATTTTTTTCCATAACAAATACCTTTCTTTATTAATTATGATTACTATTGTCAAGGACAAGAACTCGATGAAAAAATAATTCACACAAGTGAGCCTTCACTCAAAGAAAGGTAACAAAATATAAATAAACAAGTATGTATATTGAAAGAGAAACTGGAATGGCTATTGCCAAAAGACAAGAAAACTAGAGACCCTTGAAACTAGACTAGAAGCAAGAAAGGAATTGATAAGAGTGAAGAAGCCTTCACTCTTGTCTCTATATATACTATCTAACTAGGGGCTACGTGGCGACATTCTATAGGACCTCCAATATGTGTTGACTTTGTAGGGCACATGCCTTGACTTACAAGGCAAGTTTTTCTACGTGTGGGCCATATAGTTAGCTTAATCTTCAAGCTAACAACATGTGTGGCACATGGCCAACTTGTTGACCACGTTTCTAATCCAAAAAGTCAATTAAAGACACCTATGAAGTCAAAGCAGCATCTAAGAAGTTTCTAGGAAGCTTCCATATTAAATATTATAGAATTAACTTACTTTTACCTACTTTTACTTACTTTTACTTATTTCTATATGTAATTATTAGCTTACATGATTATGGCCGTGACATTACCCTCCCTTCTAGGGATGAGTTCCACGAGGAGCGGTCATCATATGTTGAGAAAATCTATGATGCGACGAATTGTATTTGCCACATATTCTGATCTCTGTTTTCTTCGAAGATGATTGATAGGGCCTCTCAACCATCGGTAGTGTCTCATACCAGGGTGGGAAGACCATCCAGTTATTTGATCATTATTGAGGCCTTCGTAACTTCCTTCAAATAGAATATTTGGAACACCATCAGGAGTTGTTCCTTCTTCTAGCACAATCACCAAACATCGGGAGTCCCTTTCCAAATCGTGATATCAAACGCATTGTATCTCACCATCTATTCGAGGAAGAACATGTCGTTCTTGAAGATCTTCATCTCAATTGCGTCGTCTTGAAGGTTGTAACAATCGTAATGTCTCATCCGGCAGGTCACCACATGAAGGCTCTTGAGTTGAATCCATTTGTTGTTGATTCTCCATCTCCTGAGCGCCACTACTACAACGAAGCTACAAACAAGAATTGAAAGTAGAATGTTATCTTGCCTAGATGTTGTTTCTTTTATAAAGAAGGTTTTCATCTTGCTTTTTATGGATGTCGTCGATGAAAAGCCTCCACCACCTTTGCTGCATTTGCAAGATTCTTTATTGGCTCCCATATGCGTTCACTAATACCATATCCGCGCCAATGGACAAGATATTGTAATTTATTTCAGCGTCGCCTTGAATCTAAGACTTCTTCTACTTCAAACTCTTCATTATTGTCTACTTCTATAGAAGGAGGTGGAGCTTGTCGTCTTCTTGGTATGTCCACTGTCTTGTATGGTTCAAGAAGAGACACGTGGAATACTGGATGGATTTTCATTGACTCCAATAGATGTAAACGATATGCAACTGGATTGATTTGTGCAGAAATAGAAAATGGTCCCAGCCTTCGATAGTCCAACTTGTCACAAGGACGAGTGGTCTTGATATTGCGACGAAGTAGCCATACCTTATCACCCAAGACGAATGATGGTTGTTCCTTTCGATAGACATCCGCATTGGCCTTTTGTTGTTCTTGAGCCTTTTTTAACTGCGCCTTCATCGTTGCATGTAGCTTTGATAAATGAATTGCCAAATCTTTCGTAGCAGGATTATCAACTTTTAAAAAGTCAAAAGTATCAAGTCATGGATGATAACCATAATTAGCAAAGAAAGGTGTTTGTTTTATAGAAGAGTGTACCGTGTTATTGTAAGCAAACTCTACCAATGGCAAAAGAATTGTCCAATCATCTTGTTGGTAATTAATGGTACATCTTAAATATTGCTCCAAAACTTGATTAACTCGCTCCATTTGTCCATCAATTTGAGGATGGAATGCCGAAGATAGTTTTATATCCACTTTAAGAATCTTGAAAAGAGTCTGCCAAAATCTTGATACAAATTGAGTTCTCCTATCTGATATAATATCCTTGGGTAATCCATGATAGCGATAGATATTGTCAAGAAAGAGCTTAGTTGTTTCTTCACCTGTGGTAGATTTTGTACATGGTACAAAATGTGCCATCTTGGTAAAACGATCTACTATCACGAATATAGAGTCATAAGAACCTAAGATTGGAAGATTCGTGATGAAGTCCATAGAAACAGAAGACCATGGTTGTTCTGGAATGGATAATGGCTAAGAAGTCCAAAAGGTCGATGATGAGGAGTTTTCGATCTTGAACAAACATCACATGATTGTACAAAATCTTTAACTGCCTTCCACATTTGAGGCCACCAAAAATCCCTATATATCAGCTCCAAAGTCTTATTATATCCAATCATGTCTATATCAATTATTTATCTCATTTATTTTGATTTGAGGCATTTATGGCCCGTTCTTCTAGCTTTATAGGGGGACAAAATTTCTTTAAGAAGTTCCATTCATACTCCTCTTAGATAGCAAAAGATGTATCTGCCAAGAAGTCAATATACCTATACAAACAAAGATTGACAAAATCCAAACTAAAAAAACTAAAAAAGAAAAATAATCAAATAAACTAATTGACTATGGACTAAATTTCAACTCAAATGGTGAACAAAATTATATTCTTACACTTTATGATAGGCATTTTTGCAGATTAAAGAACTCATTGAGTAGGTTGAAACAAGTTTATAAGGTCATGATCACTAAAAAGTAAGTAATCCAGCTATTTCCAGATTGAAGTTCGAAGGTACTTTGCATGTTGGTTAGCATTCTCATTACACCTGTGGTTCCATAAAATTCCAGATTTGAATAATATTATACCGTAGCAGTTTTAATCAAACCATCCATACAGCACCATCATTACACTCCTTAGAAGCCATAAATCTCAAGTACATGGTGAGGATCATGCTCACCAGCACAATACCCCGAATCCAGCTCTATTTCTAAGCTGGTCTGTTCGTCAGAGAGATGTGCAGAGCATCTTGTACCAAGAACAACCCTCTACTTTACTCAATGATGTGTGCTTTAAACAGGCTTCTAGTCTGAGCACAACTTCAAGCTCCTGCTCTACACGTCTCTCTTGTACTACATCAGTGCACCTCCTTTCATACGACAGCCCTGTTCTACAATGAATATCCGACACATTCTGACCAGCTTCTTGCAGGTGGAAGACGACTCTTGCAAAAGAAATCCTTTAAAACACGAGCTCTCTCAATTTGCATTCTACGCCCTATTTTGTCCGGCACCAGGGCTGGACTACAATCTCTCATAGAATACATCTTTTCAGACCCTGGGCAACACTCTCTCGACTTCAGCAAATAATTATGATAGTCCATGTTTGTAGCGTATGATATCTTATGTGGGTTGATCATCACTTAAATAGGTCATGCAAGTCTTATTTTTCAGCGCTCCTTTGCCGAAGCTCCACAGGGGCCCCTAACCCCCACTTTCTGGCTTTTCCCGTCATTCAATCCTTCATTCGAAGTAGCCATTTGCGGGCGAATCCGTTTTGGAACCACATCAATTCTTTCGACGATAGAGAAGTTCCTGTAGACGCAGCAAGTACAAGTCAAATGCCATCCGCGTTTCGTACAGTGATGCAATTCTACAACCACATAAGTTCACGACCTCAAATTGTTGAACCAGAGTTGAGATATCGGTGATAATCGATGCGTGTGACCTCGTCACCATCAAATATTCACCTTCAACCATGCTCCTCTTACAAGTTGCCCTCACTTGACGGCAGATTGAAGTTTCAAGCGTCGCCAACAGGTGCTTGCAGCGCCGATGTGCTGTCATCCGTTCTTGGAGTTCAGGAACAATTGAGAGGGAAAGAAAGCACCGACTAACTTACCAAGTTGCCATGGTAATCCCAGAAATCGCAAAGCACGCTCTCGAGTGTGTGCCCCGAAGACAGAAGCATGACCTCTTTGCCACTATCCCCTCTTGAAGCCCACGCCTTCCCTTTCGAAAGCTTGCTCAACCGCGGAGGGGGTTTGGGAACTGAAACCTGCTCAGTCTTGCTTTCCACAAGAATTTCCAGATCTGCTTCTGGCGGAGGAGACAAGCGAGTTGCAAGGAACTGGGTTGCCAACACACCACAACCAGAATCAGCGCCCGTCCACTTTTCTCGCAATTTAACCACACCACGTCTATGTGTTCATGGTTTGAACAGTGAGCCAAACCAGATCAGCGGTCATTCGTATCTAAGCTACTCACTTGGAAACAAGACGCGACGCTGTCAAATGAACCGAATAAAAAACATGATTTGGGAAGACCCAGAATGCATAAGCACGACGAGTTATCAATTCATCGGTCTCTTTCAAGCTTGTATCTAAAACACGAGCTGAGCCCGCTGCGTTACATTCGTATCAGGCCCACATTACGACGCTAAGAAAAGGTGCAACACCTGCCCTAACAGGTTGACGTGAGTTTAGCTCTCTCGGCGCCACACCATTGAAGAGGACTATGCTAGATACTTTTGACTCGACCTCCCACTTTCAAATGAAAACCGAATTCTCTTCGACGCATGGAAGAGATGCAGCCAAAAAACAGAAATAAAAATGAACTCAGTGTAAAACAATAACCCCCGATTTCTCCTGAATCAGAAGCGCGCCATGATGGTTACCTTGCACAGGTGATGGACGGTCATATTGGGAGGACAGCAAAGGTGTGGTCGTTTGAGGCTTGGCAGGGTGTCCTCGTCATCCGATCCATCATTCAAAGGCTGCAAGTTCAAGTGTACAACAAACTGCAACACAGGGTTTCTAAAACATGTCAGGATGCTGCGGTTGTGACATACATTTGATACGTACACGTGAATGCCAAATGCAACTGCACAGCTCTTAAACGCAACTACTCCTTCAGTGGAGCTGCAAGCACAAGGAATCCACGCCACACCTTCGCTGCAAATCCTCCATCGCTCTAACAAATCCGCATTCGACAACTTCAAGATCACGACGCCAGGCCGCAATCAAGGACCACGCGACATACTACCGGAGACTGGCACAACAGACACCCCAACGCATTGTTTCCCCACGTCACCACAATCCTGAAACTCTTGCACTTTGACATACTACACCAGACTGTATCACACACGTCGTCTGGCAACCCGTTTCTCGAGCACGGGATACGTCAGCTAAATCACGTGATCCTTGTTCGTTCAAGTCCTCCGACTCTTCTTTCCTCCGTGTGCAGCATTTCGCAGATGCATCCTCGTAGTACAACCTAAATTAAAATTCCAGGAGTCTTGTCTCACCTCGTCTTCCTTCTCTGTGCGAGCGGCAGCCGATAACGCGTCTGCAAGGTCCTGAGTCCGCGGCAATGACTTTATGCTCCTACTACCATTGGCCACAGGAACACCGCTGACACTTCCATACCGTGAACTTCGAGTACCTTTGGCCCAGCTCTTCAAAGTTCCTTCACCGTTGGTCGGAGAAGCGTCTCCATCACTCTCCCTCGCCAGTGAATCGGCTGGCGATTCGTCGCCAGAGAAAGAGGCGGGCGCCTCATGCTGATCACGCGTAGCTGCTGTATACAAAAGCCAACAACTTTAGGGGCCTTTCACTCTGACATCATCACTTCAGACTCGCAATTGTACTTGACCACAAACATACTGTCCAGCCTTACTTGGTGTACTACTGTTCCCGTTACAACTCAGCTCTCGCAGCCAAAGTTCGCAGCATCCGCAACTCCGGTCATGCTGAAGTTCTATTTCGAAGACGTAAGCTGAAGATCGGATAACAGCTAGAAAGATATGTGAAAGGACCCCTAAACTTTCCCGCGGCTTCCATGGAAACAGTAACGTCCGGATATTCAAGACATGCACTTTTCCAAACGCAACAAGTCTAGGTGCTCGGCATGACCTAGAACTTGCTTGCAGCGAAACCAAGTGCTCTATGAATGCAAACAAAACAAAAACAAAAACAAAAGCGTGTTGCAGATGTAACCCACCGCTCAGTGACTCGTTCTCACTATTCTCTTCACCACTAGAATAAGTCTGCACCTTGGCCCTTCGTCTCTTCGGGTTTGGCTCTGGTTCACTCTGAGTTTCGTCGCCAGAGGTAGCAGTATCAGCTTTGTCCTCGTCATAAAAGTCATCATCGTCTTCATAACGTGCTGAGCCCTCACTGTACCTGCTAAACCATTCCCCGAAAGAGAATCAGACTACGGTATTCTAGAAGTCAGGTGCATCCGAAAAAGATGCTGCAGTAAACAAGCTCGAATCATGTAATTCACTACCAACTTCCTACGAGTCCTCAAAAATCCGCGGCCACACTTCACAAGGGCTTCCTGACCTAGATCTGCGACCTCCTCGCCTTCCACGACCCCGACCTCTTTGCCTGCTCTGCACACTGCGAAAGTTGCCGTGAGCTTTCCTCACGATTGCTGCAGCCGTTGCTTTAGACGCGGTGCGCCGCCTTGCAATGGCTTCAGACTGCCGCTTGAATGTATCAGCAATATTCGCCTGAATCTGTGTCCACCCAAAAGTGACATTGTCATCAAAAACCGGATAACTGCGATGCTTTTACATGACGGGCATTTCGTTGTGAGTTCCAAACAACTGGGCCATCAGAGGCCCGAACGATTAAAGTGCAACAGACGTTGGCATCCAGACTTAGCACAATAACAAACATTTGCTGCGCTGTGACCCTCAAGGTACGGATGGCAGAAAGCAAAGGGAACCTCCTCGAACACGCAACAATCGTGTTCCCGCAAAGCAAACAATCGAAACTTAGCCCCAAACTATCAGGTGCTTTCAACTATGCCAACATATTCCCTCTCCTCAAGTCATAAGCTCCGAGTGCAAAATCAACTACCACGGAACAACGATCTCAGCTGTTCTACCAACACGTACATGAACTGCAGTGCACAACACAAGCTCAACAACTGCCCCTTTCCCTTGGAAGCGTAATAGAAACACTGACCTGTCTATTCATAAGAGCCTCATCTTCAAAAAACGCGAGTTCCTGTGGCAGAAACATGACAGATGTTCAGAGCCTTGCTTCGTGCCACATCAACCGATAGAAACACTCTGTAAAGAAGCCCGTGATGCATGAGAAACACGACAAAATTCATACGATCACAAACCAGGGTCGAATTGCTCCCCATACGAGGCGCAACAGAGCGTGGGCTGCGGCTTGTAAAGGAACCGTAATGCAACGCAAAGAGACTGATCAAAACCACACGGTTACGCCATAAGATCTCACAATTTGGCCACATGCAAACCGCTCTAATACCACTGAAGTCCATAGCACACTGACTAAAGGTTTATACAACCACGCACCTCCTCCTCGTACTCGTCCAGGTCAGGATAGATTGCAGCAACGAGAGCATCGAAATTGGGATCGTCCCTCAAGGATCGCCGGCTTGCACAATGTGTGCGGCAGGCAGGACATTCATTGTTCCTACGAGTATTTACGTTACAACAACTTCATTACCAAGTGCAATGCTACCTTCGATGTGTGTCTCCCAACGAACAACAATAGCTGTTAATTTGCAAAGTTTGTCAACACGGTACTGTAAAACAATAAGGCTGATCTATACTATGACACAATTTCCATCAAATCCTCAAACTCGAATATGTGCTCCACAAACGATCCATTCGAGTGCACTCAATCATCGTAGTTCCTCAGCCAGTGATGCATGTCGGGCACAAGTCCCAGGATTCAGAAACAGTGCCTACGCGTGAAGTACGAAATTACCCTAGCCGCATGGATTTGTCAATGCACTCCCTGCAGAATCGGTGGAGGCACTCCATAACTGTTCGTGTTTTCCGTATAATTCCTACGAACAGAGACAACCCAAATTCAACAAAGAAAAAAAAGGTTTCTCATATCACATACTCTCCATTGCACACACCGAACAGCCACCTATAACACATGCCAGAGGCACCAGCTCTTTCCGAGATAGGTTAGGACTTCACGTACCCAGGCAAATTGGACACTGCATCTCCTTGCGAATGTCTGACCGACAAACCCTGATGTAGCTGAGACAACAAACACACAGTCAGCGCCACCTTGCGAAACATTGGTTCATCACCTTCGCATCGCAACAGAACCGCGTGGTGCACCTGATTGGACGACATCACGTCGCCACGAAAACGAGGTACTGTAACTCGTGCTACAAAGACTGCCGATTGAGAAGACGCATGTCTTCACATCACACGATATCCCTTGCACCGGAATCTGGTATCATTTTACAGACTCTCCACCAAGCAGACGCTTCCCAAGGCAATTCCAATGCCGCAGTATGTGCCAACCGTGAGTTGTACTGCTGTGCTCCAATTGCAATTTCTCCTATTTGACGACCTCTTTTTGAACACTTCTCACCTTTTAACTAGATCCGTGTAACCTCTGAGGACATGAAACGATACTACCGCATTCTCAAAACAAGCCGCTGCAAGCAGTGAACTCTTGAGGATCCTCATGGGAATTACCATGACACACCATACCAGGTACGCTAAACAACAGTCGGCCGTTCAGAATACTCCCGACTGCTTCGAAAGTTGCAACGTCTTTGCCAGTACATCGAAGGGCGAATTTTACAGGGAGTCGCCTAGTTATGAATCGGTTTGCACATACATTGCAACATTCCAATCCAGTGATTCTCAAGTCTAGACCTTGTGCCACTGGCCTGTTCAGCATAAGCACCCCAATACAATTCGTTGCTCTGACCAGAATAAACTACTAAGGCCCTTGGCTGTTCTGCTCTGGAACCTGCGTTATCACTGGAAGAAGTTCGGAGTGATGTTCACAGAAACGAGTAAAGGGAGATTCTTCACAAAGTTTGGGACATTCGGTACCAGCCTACGAGCCAATCACGCTCACGTCGTCCTCCGCTTTTGCTACACGCTGCCCGTTTTGTGTCGGACGCGTCGCGATGTGAGCGAGTCCATCAGTTCGTTTATCAATTCTCGACTACTGAAGCATACATAGTCTTGTGCATGAGATAAAACTATGCGAGATACTTTGACCGGGAGACGCAAACAACAAAGAAACTCTGCCACGACACAAGGAGCCAATAAATTCAGCCAAGGAAGTGGACACGTTCCAGCATTGAGAAGTATGAGTGGCGAATTGCACCACCAGTGGAGAATAACTTTGCAGCATGGAGGTAAGGGCAGTTCCAGCAACTCACTCTTTGCCATCGCCATTGGACGGAGACAAGGGGCCACCTGACATGTCAAACACACGATAGCCACACCATATTAGCACCGCAATTAATCGGTTTAATCACTTGTAAATGCAAAGCTACGTGCAAAACACCAAATGCATACACACAAACGCGATCGCTGGTGTTGAGCAGCAGTCCACGTTAAAGAGTGGCGCCGCTGACAAAAGCGCTCTCGTCCGCACCAAAGCTTGAGTTTGCTATTCAACGAACAAAACTCACTGAATTACATCACGTCATCAATCCTACAACGGACAGCAACAGCGTCGCGCACAAAGCAGTCCTAAAACCACTGAACCCCCTGGTGTTCGATCCCACGGCCTCCGACACAATTGTATTCTAGCACGCACAAAATAGCAACATCCGAGGCACGTCGCCGCATCCGTCCCCTACATGACGAGCAAGAAATCAAGTTCATGGAGGGCAATTGGAGCTGGCACCCCGAAGCCAACGGCACGCCATCCCTGAATTACACGCAAAACACCACGCCGCGCACAACCATGGAATGAGGAAGCATGCCAGACACGAGAGCAATCAATCATCTTACCGTCTGCATTCGCTGCGCTGGGCGGCTCAGGGTCCGCTCGCCCTTGAGCTGGCATTGCAACCTCCACTTTGGCAAACTTTGTCACTCCCTCCACACCGTCTCTGGACCGACGCGCACGCGAATGAATGAAGGTGCCGCGTATCGGCCCGCGCGCCTGCCCGCACCTGCGCTACTCGGAAAGAAGCATGGAAGTGTAGAGGAAATCGGTATAATCCTGCAAGGCGCGCGGGCGATTCCACGCGGGGACCGGGATGATGATGCTGATGCTGATGCTGCTGATGATGATAAGCAAGCAAGCAAGTAAGCCTGTAAGTATTCTCTCTCTCGCCCTCTCGTTCTCTTCCCTTCCTCCCCTCGCTTGCCCTTCCGCCCTGCCGTTGCTCGCTGGCTTTGTGCTGGCTATGGTGGCTTCAGAGCAGAGCAGGCCGTGTGTTGCGGTCCCCTGCTTTCTTTCTACCTGCCCTTGTCCCCTTGGGTTGGTTTTTCCAGACGCAGCACTGCGCTCGCCCCAGGCGGGGATTTTCCGAGCCTTTCTTTCTTTCCTTAAATGGGGGGGAGGGGGGGGGGGATGTCGAGCAGAGTTTAGTGGCGTTGCTGTTATTCGACTGATGGTCTTGTGGAATGGTCCAAGTCGTGATCCTTACTGTTGTGTTGTTTTGTGAACAGGAGCTTTTCCTTGAGGTCGCGCTTTCATGACATCGTTGCTGCATCGTTTTTGTTAGTGAATCTACCATTTCTGCTTGGTTTAGCTGAAATCAGTTTATGTGATAGAATACATATATATATATATATATATAGATATATTTATTGATATATATAATTTTTTTGTTTGTTTTTTTATTTTGCTTATATTTTTTCTTTGGAAGAATATTGTATTGGTGCTTGCAAGTGATTTTTTAATTTGTCAATGGATGTTTTTCTTAATTTGAACTTTTTATTTTGAAATTGGATCATTAACTTTTAATGAGATAAAATCTCTCTTTCCTATCATTTTTTTTTTTTGCCTCATGTGCTTTTCTTATGGTTTAGAAATGGCTTTTAAAGTGTCTTCCTAAGGTATTTGTTAATTTTGCAGTACTGTAGTGCTCTTTTTGATTTTATAAACCTATGTTCACTATATTTGATTTTGCTAGCAAGTTTTAAAGAATAAATCTTAGTGATTAACTTTGACAATGAATCAAATTACATTCAAATACATACTTTGAAACAGATTTTCGTTTTATTTTACTGATAATTAGTTTTTGGAAATTGTCCAATTATTTTAGTGTAAACTTAGGGTAAACAATAATTTAAGAATGCATTTTTTGTTGTTCTCTTCAAAGGTGATATATTATAATGCTTTGATGAATTGTTATTGACATGGCAAAGAAAGATGTAATCTACACTGTTCGCTGTAATATCATAGGCCATGTCTTTTAAGTGTATTATGCTCATTTCTTTAATTTTTGTCCCAAATATGTTCATACGGTTGAAAATGTATATTGATTCACATCTTTCTTTAAGAAGTTCTTGCAACACCAAAGTAGCAAGATACCTTTTTTAAAAAAAATTATAAATTAATGTGATATGATGGAACATGCTTTAAAAAAAGTTAAATTAGTTTAATTTTTGAAATGTAAAATACAAAAAAATTATACCATTGTAAATTTTGAAAATTAATCAAAAAAATTCCAAATTTTTATGCAAAGAATTTAAAACAAGTATAGCATTGCCAAGCACTTCAAGAATATCAACAAGATCTATGGAAACATAGAACAACTAATCCATGAAAATAAAATAAAAAAATCAATTTTCAAATGGGAGGTTAAGATTGCTTGCCTCTGGTACATGCATTGATCACACATTTGGGACCATCTCAACAATAACATTTGACTTTTCATGACTACATAGGTTTACATAAATGTAAGAGACATGGATTTTTTTTTTCTTGTTATGTTTTTTTAAAAAAAAAAAAAACAAAACAAAACAAATGGCAACACTCACCACCTATTCATATGAACTATCCCTAAATATTTCCTGTTTACGAAAACATAAAAGGCGTTCCAAGCGGACCCGTTTGAATGCCACAAATGCTTTGGAAAGGCCCGGAGGTGCTCGTTGCGCTGCTTTTGAGCAGCATGTCATGCGATGGTCTCCGCACCGCACCGCAGCGTCGATGCTGCTGTGAACATTCTTCAATTTCGGAAACCTTCGGTGCCGCGAACAAGAAGCAGAATCAGCAGAAGCAGCGGCAGCAGCGCCGAGCTTCAATCCAGCGAAGTCATAGTGAGTTGTTGCCGGAAGCGTCGTTACGAATAGCATGCGCAATTATTTCTTTCAAGACGTGGTCTTCTGCCTCTGTTGGCAGAGGTTCCGGCCCCGAATGAAGCACCAACGTTCCTTTCTGGCAATTCTTATCACTCTTCGCGTTAGCTGTGTCTGCCGCGGTTATCATGCTCAAATTCTCTAAAACATATGAAGTATGGCCTATTTTGAGAATCTCTGGCTGTCTCACCTGGTGTGACTTCGAACTGCAGAGATTGGTACAGAAGAAGCTAGGACTAGCGGATGAGTTTTACATTTCAAGTTGCGAGACGAGGAGGATTTTATTTATTTATTTATTTATTTATTTTTGGTTTGTTGCCTCGAGCAGGATGCATTGCAGGTCGTTGAGGTATATCAGATCAGGAGGTGTTGCGTTTCTTACCTCCAAGCTCAAGGCTTCGAATAGGACGTTTTGGCGACACGCGATACTTGCATGCAATACTGTTATTCTCTTCGACTCTAGAGCGCTCATGATGTCCACTAGGAGCCCCGGCCGATTGGTACACGCTATGTGTACTTCTATTTTTCCCTCTTCTCGTTTCACTTCCACCTGTTACATAATCGACCACAAGCGTAGGTTAATCCATGATTGCTACTGCCGACTGTAGAGAAGGCTTTACTGTGCGCTCGTGACCATTCGCCATTCAAGTGTTTTGTGATCTCTACAAGAGCTATCGAAATAGTGTTTAGATATTTAAATCCTGGACTGTGCTCACTGTGCAAATCTCATACATTGTCCACTGAAGCTGCTTATGAAAACTTTCATCCAAACCAAGTGACTCCGAAAATTAGACTTGATGAACTCGTTTGCTTAAATTGGTCAAAGAATGCGTAGCATGAGTGATTCGTCGGTTAGGGAGGTGCAGTTGCGAACGCACCATTGGATGCTGGTACAATAAACAGATGGAGTTTGAGCTTGTTGATTGGGCATCTTGTGCCTCCTGAAATAGTAAACCGTTAGGGTTCGCAGAAGTTGTGCTCAGTGGAACAAGTTCAGTGGTGAGTTCGTCCACACTCTTTTGAAGTTTCATTATGTACTGATATGCGTCCATCAAAACAGATGCCTTCTCTTCCTGTGGAATTATCAGAAGTCTGAACTCAGAACCATTCACCACCGAGCTCAACACAGAGGATCTCATGGTTTTCACATTCATGTTTAGGTGGATGATGAGTATGACAATACTAATTCGACATTTTCATACCCATTTTCTGGATCGGAACTCTTCGTAATGGTGAAATCTAAGATGGTATGAAACCGTTGCCATTTGCTGAATTATTCAGTTGCAATTCTCAAGGAAAGTTTCTGAAGCCAAACATACCCCTAGAACACTGCCTGGTAGGATTGACCGTAAGGATGCGAGTTGCTCGTCGAGCTTGGCGTTCTTGAGCCGGCGCTCTGCGAGCACATCGTCCACGAAAACGCCATACGTTCGCTTCCCCAATCCCCGTGGAACGGGCGTGGCAAATGCCATTGGGACTTCCTCGTTTTCAGAATCTGATGAATCCACCTCTGAGAAGTACTGTTCGCCTGTTTCTTGCATGTAGTGGTCTGCACCTTCACCAAAGCTTCGGGAGGAGCTTCCATTTCCAAGAGCCATCGTCAAAATAACTGCACCGTCAATGGCTTCCAACCCCAGCCCCACCTCCGTCTTCCACTACCCTAAAATGGATGAAGGTCTGGCCGCAGGAAACGGTGAATCCCGGCTTGAGACCTTTCTCAATCTGCTCGAACGAAATCAAATTCCCTGCAAGACTAAGGATCGAGGGTGAAAAAAACTTCAGTGTACCCAGGCCCGAATTGGCTGTTGGATTGAGGAAGGAAATACCGACCAGGTCTTTCTCTGATGATCTTGTACATACACCAGTTCTAATGTCCCGTGCTGTATTTGAGTCGTACAGCTCAATGATCGGAACTGGATATCTGAGCAATTGGTGTTACTGAAAACGCAATCACGCGTCCTAAACATATGCCGTGCTCCTCACTTTCTCAAAGTTGTAGATAGCTAGAGGAAGTAACTGGGTGAGAATTTTCTTCAAAAGATGAAGGCCATGAATTTGAGAAAGTGTGACCTCTCAACACTCAACAGATGATTCTTTATCCCATAGCGACTTGCTCATATGTGCATTTTATAAGTGAAAAAGTTATTTTCGTCTACCACGGCCTGCAGGAGTGGAAACCTTAGAGTAATATCGGGCTGTCAGAGTTGGACAGGAGCATTTTCGAGTGACAAATGCTAATTAATGGACACTTGTGAGCTTTTTAAACAGTAAAACCCTTCATCGTTTAGCAGCCAAATCTTTCGATGGCTTGAGATAGCATGGGATCGCTCAGGACTCAGTTACAGATCAAAACCACATTCTGAAAGAAACGTGAGATGTCTGGACTGTAATATGAATTGTGTTCCTACCTCACCTTCAAGTGTGTCAAGACCAAGCCATTTTCTTTGAACAGTTCCCGTCAACTCTCCCAAGGCTAAATGCAAGCCTAGCACTTAAGAATCAGTTGGCACTCGGGGTTGGTACACAAGCTCCGAAGACAAGTCTCCTCGTGCCGCTAGGCCCTCCGTTCCAAAATATAAGTAAATAAATAAGTAAAAGGTGGGGGGTGGGGGCAAGGAATGGCCGCTGCTTGCAAAGTTGCCTTCAAAAGCAAAGAAACCGCACTTAAGTAGATAATAAGATTCTTGGTATGCTAGCGTAACTCCACTGATGTATTTATCAGGAACGAGGGAATGAACCCATCAGTTCGGTGCAAAGCAAATCTACAGCCACTCAACTCTGAAGAGCGTGTTTTGTACTCAGAGAGACCGGCGGCATCGCTGCCATCAAAGGTTTCGCAATGTCAAGACTAGTTTCAAGGGTAAAGAAATTTTTGTGATCAGCTAAGACACTCAAGACAAAGACCATCCGCGGGAGCTGCGGATGTGTCAGGAGAGGAGAAGACGTCTTTCCTTATTGCTCAGACAAACTGATTATGCAGAATATGGTGTCGTAAATCAGAATCTTGGTCACTCGCGACGGCAATCACGCACCCACAAACGAATTTGTAGTAATCTTCCGACTCCTAGTTTCGTCCGTGGTCACTCAAGAAAGGGTGTCTAAGCTCCCTTAATTTGCACACTATAACTCCTCCGAAAGATTTAGGATCGTCGCCTTTCCAGGCTTGCGGTTAAGTGCAACGACCTATGTGTGACGCCGCGGTTTCTGTGATGCACGCAAATGTTCGCACGAAAGGATCAATCAGCTGACATTCATGGCGACCAATCAACTAACTCACTGACGAACCAGCCAAACTACCAACCGTCGCTGTCCACGGCCTCCCTATGGTATTCTTCACGTAACGGAGAGAACATAATTCCCTACGGCACACGTAATTAAACGGAACTCGGGTCATTATCGGTGTACCACTAGTGGTGACAGCACCAATAATTCCTCACACGGGCTACACCCCGTACATACAACTCCGGTCTCTATGCCGCGACTTCATCCAGACAAGATGCTCCAAGCGTGGAACATGACCACGCTGAGAGGTACAACACAGATTTATGCTCCATAACAGCCCACCGAGGCCACACCAGCATGTCTGAAACCCTACACTCTGAATCTCAAGCCAATTTCAGTTGCGTCAAAGTTTGATTCTGCCGCAACAGCAAACATGATCACCAGGGCCAGTGCCTGGATTACACGGAGGGATGGCCAGCTAACGATCAGCAGACAGGACCGGAAGAGACGATGGGGATGTTTGCGCGATTGCCACTAGGATGTTGTTGTTGTAATCGCCACGGGGGGTGGTCGGTTCTTTCACGATCCATAGATCCCATGGGCCGCGTGCAGGGTTTTACCATATGAGCATGATTGGTCGGCGAAAGCAGCAGCAGGCGATGCTCCCCATTTCGTTTCCTGCCATCGTACGAGCTGCTAGACTCGGTGCAGCTGTTGGCGATGTTTGGTGGAGATGAAGAGGCGTTTAGCCATCGTGTGTGCGATGTCCACCCTCGTGTTCATGCCCTCCCAAGAGGTAAGATAAAGATCCACCCCACCCAACTTCCTTCTTCCATCCTCCTCACATGATTCCCGACCTCTTTTTCCTCTTTCGTGGTGGCCCCGTCGTAGCAGCAGCAGCAGCTGCTGCAGCCTTGTACTATACCTTTTTAGCGGATCGAAAGTCAAGCTGCCACCCCTACGCAGGGAGATTAACTCTACTCCTACGCCAACAGGAAGAAGAAGAGGAAAAAGAAAAAAGAAAAAAGAAAAAACACGCACGCACACACACATAAAACTACAAAGAAAAGAAGGGAATGAAAAAAACCATTTTCTGAAGAACGTGCAAATTGGGGTTTGTTAAACAGGACTCAGGGCCCATGTTACACAACAGCGAGGAATGATGTATTAGCTCATCATTTGCTGCTTGCAAGGGAGACAGCATTCGCCATGTTCTGCTCGTGAAGCCTCCGTGGAACAATTACCCCACTCTTGTACGTTGTCAAACACCGACCACCGTCGTGGTGAAAAAAACCTGGAAAGACAAATCTCCTGGGTAAAATCCATTCCACACCTCACGTCTTAAACAAATATAATACAATATAATACAATATAAACAAAACAGTGAGCTAGGGATGACAACGAGTGGGGCAAGCCATTCCAAAACACCCAGGCTCATTCTCGTCTCCTACTTAAGTGAGTCCTAGGAAAGCTCACAGGGAGTGTTGGGAAGTCCGGAACCACAGAAGTTGTGTGCGGGCACATGGAGACAGAACGGGCTTTTGATGGGTGCGGAAGGGGCCTGCTGCTTCCCCAGCGTTGAATGCATGAATCCATGCTGTGTCAGTCAGTTGCACTGCACTGCACTACACTGCAATGCAATGCAAGGAGGAGGAGGAGGAGGAGGAGCTAGAATAGATGCCACGGACTCATGACCACTCCTCATTTTCCTCCTCCTCCTCCTGGGGCAGCATTGATACCAAACCTCCGTCTCTTTGTCTTTGTCTCTTTCTCTTTCTCCCCTTTTTCTCATTCCGTGCCTTTGCGTCCATGAGTGTTTTGTTGGTTCCTTCCTCTTTCACCCACTGATCGTGCACACTGGGACTGCCAAGCGAGTGGGAAACACACTACCTTTTCCCACCACCACCACGACCACCACCATTCCTCATGTGGAAACATGGCCACTGCACCCAATTCACATATTCTACATTCATTCAACTAATTCTTTACACATTCGTTCGTTTGTGGGTGTAATCAAACTCATTTTTTTTTCCTTTGTTTTGGAACTTGTTTGTGGTTTCTAGTGGTTGAGTCTTGCATCTCCTTTTTTGAGGAATTACTCCACTAGATTTTTAAGGAGTTGCAAGTCACAATGCATTTGTTGTGACTTCCAAAGTGGAGTTTTAGATTTGTTTTGTTCCTGTTCATTAAATGAGATTGTGGATTTACAGAATGAAAGGAAATGAATTTGTAAGTTGTGTGAGATGGGTGTTGTGAAAAATGGATTTAAATGATAGTTGAGATTTAATAAGTACGAGAATTTATTTTATATTTTTAAATCATTAGTATGTAAAAGGTTTATTTCACAAAGTGAGTATCACAAATCCTGTTATGAAAACAAGACCAGAATAAACACATTTTTATAGCAATTATGAATTGTAGTGTGTTTTTGGCACACTTCCACTTAGCTATTTTATTTTTCTTAGAACACATTACATTCAATCTATGAAAAGAATTCTTTAATATATGGCTGGAAACACGGTGGACCCCTTGTGAGATCCACTCTCTCTGAGCCCAATAGTAACCTTTTATGTGCTCTTCATGCTATCAAAGCACATAGATTCTGAAAAAGTAAGGATTTTGACTACATAGAGGAAGAATCTTATTGAGTTGAAATTTTAACCATAAAATTCACAAATTAAATTTTAGAGATGTGCCATAATATTTATTTTGTAACCAACATTTCTGTGGTAGAAACAATGGTTTTTGAAAAGGACTGGATATCCAGACAAGAAAAGTACCAAATACAATAAGATAAAAATAACTTCGATGATAATGTGACCAACAATAATTAACATCATTAAATCACACATTAATACATTACTTCTGTATCTCATTTCTTCACTACTTTTTCACAGTCCACTATCTTACAGTTTCAGAAATCAAATGGACACCTAGTCAGGACACAATCCTGTGCAATCGGCAAATAATTCATGAGGAACAGTGTTTGAGCCCTTCCTGAACACTGTTATTTTGAATAGTTATATATTCAAAAATCGAAGAGATATTGCTCACCACAACAGAAAAATAAATAAGTCAATCAATCAATCAATCAATAAGGAAAATAGGAAGAATTAAAAAGAAAATAAAAGAATGTAAGAAAACAGAAAGAAAAAAATAACATGATAAGAACTGTAAAGCACGTAAAATTGCAAACCGGTGTTATTAAAAATAAATATATATGCTGACTGTCTGATAGTTCTGGCACCGAGCGGGTTCGACGGAGTAGCCCTAGGACCGTGTGGCCCAATGGATAAGGCGCCTGCCTACGGAGCAGGAGACTCTGGGTTCGAACCCCAGCATGGTCGCAGCCCACCAGAGAAATTTAATCTTGGGGGTGTGATGCTGCTGTCATTGTTTCGCGTGCATTCCAGAATTGCTTGTCTTCATGCAGATTGTTTGCGCTAATCGAAATCGAAAATCACAGATTTTACTGTGACACGGTGGTAAACATGAAGCAACTTTTTTCTTAATTGTAATTTGCTGCACAAGTTTAATAGAATCTGAAGAAAAGATCCATGTTCATCTTCAGTACGAGACTCGAAGCAATTAGTCTCCAAGCCCTTACAACCAGAAGGTTTTCCTGCTAAAAATATTTAAATGACAACGCACTATGATCTGTAATTTTGCACTTCCATCTTGCCATTCCAAGTTGATTCTTCAGCAGGCTCTTCCTCCTCCTGGCGGAACTCTTCCGCAACACTTAATATCCTTACTTTGTCGTCGACAATTTCTAAAACCTGCATCAACAAAGTTTCAGTGGCAGGTTTGTCGGAAGATAAGTTTGCCCAAAATATCAGTTTCCAAACGAAACACCTGAAGGTATAAATCGCTTCCTCTAAGTTTCACTCTCAGCGACGTGAATTGATCCGTGCTTCTTTAAAATAGTTATATACATAGGAACATGCTGCATACATGTACCTGGACAAAGCAAATAAGCTATCATGTTACCTCAGGAAGAGCATGCAGAACTCCACTAGACATGCCAACATCTATTCGCCAAATACGCCCATCGCATTTGCTACACAGAAAAAATAAGAACATAGCACCAGCAACTCAGTTGGTTATCAATCTACGTTCCTACAGTTAGATAGAGGAACCAAGAAAAAGGTCACCACCTGAACTTGGTGAACCGAGGATTACGTGCGTAAAATATGTTACCGACTACAACATGTGCTGGAGTTCCTTCAAAATAGAAGCGAACTATAATTACAAAAATGAGACTTGAACACACCTGTTGGCACCGATTGTTTGTGGAGTGTGGCCGACAATAAGGCCTCTTGAATTTGTTGCAGACAGTGCTGCTGTTAATATTCCACATGCCTGGGTTGCATAAAACCATTGACAAACGTGAATACCATGTAAAAATTGCCCAGATGGTGGCTAACATTGAGACTTACCCCTGTGTTGGACAAAAACGATGTTTGAACCACTTGCTAGTATAATTTGAATTCGTCCTCTCTTGAAATCCGTCCGTTGTTTTGAAAGGGGAAGTGACGAATACAAAGGAGCTCCAAGAGGCGACTGGTTCACTAGATTTCGAAAGGTTCTAGTACAACTTGCAATTAGGAGTTTGAGCAAGTTGGTGTGACCACTAATTTGGGAAAGTAGCATCCAAATAAAATCCAGCCATCTCACCAGCCCAATGCTACAATTTTAGCGTAATGCAAGTGCGTCTGAATTTATAGAATTCACAAAAGCATCAGCACTGCTGAGAACTGGATACTGGGTTAGGTGAAGTACCTGAATCCTCTCTTGGGGTCTATCAAAGTTCTCCTTAGAGTACAACCTGCTCCACACTATGCTGTCGAAACCTTTGACAGCAATAAAAGGCATTTGAGCGGGCTGGCCCCATCTATTATTTATATTCTTCATCCACAAGCTTACTTCCCGGTTCATCCTCTCCAACCCATATTCCACTGCATGAACCCATAAGGAAAAAAAAGATTTTACGAATGCTCGCATAAAAGAGTACTGTCACGCAGCTCTAATGCCCATCTAGTGAAGTAAAATCAGTATTTGCAAATTGTAGACCCAGTTAACTCAGTGACTTCAGTGCATCTAGTATACAAGTCACAGCAGCAGACTTGATCAGTGGGGGGTCTCAAAGACGGAAAAACACAAATCGCAAGCCAATCAAGGTTCAGCAACAACAATAGAAGGCATTGAAAAATTATAATCTGTTACCGAAAATCTGAACCCCACATCTAAACAAAAGTATATACACATGTAAATATAACTACGTCGGTGTCACTCACCATGATGAGGCAGAACACCTCCATGTGCAAATAACCAATCATTCACTTTCAAAACAACACCATGGTCAGCCAATTGCCTCGCCAACGGCCCTCCTGGAGACAAAAGCTTCGTCCTTGCCGCAACTCCCTTTTGCATCTGAATATGATATATAGCCAAAGAAACACAAACACTTCACTCATCATATCATAATGGATTACTGGTAACAGAAACCCAACATACTATTTTCGAAGAAGCCCCAAGTAAATGTTATTAATGAAATAAAACAAAATAAGTGCCTACGTTGAAACGGTGAACTTTCCATGTCCCAGAGAAAGCTGCTAGAATCATGCAAGTCTCAAAATTTAACGACATTATCATGTGAGAGCCAACATCGCAAAGTAATTTTATGCACCTTAATGGGATTAAACATGGGTAGCCAGCCAGTAAAATCGACTGCTTGATGTTTTTTCAATTCTTGAGATGCTTCGTGCCAAAGCTCAAAAGCTGCATCCCAATTCCCACCATGATCTGATTCACAGTACTCCGCAAATGCTTCTGCTTCTTGGAATCCGCCAGGAGCAACATATCGGAAATCACCAGCTACATTCATCGTCTCATGGTTACCAAGTATCTGCAAGAAAGGACAAGCTAAGAACAATTCAAAAGTTGGAAAAAGGATACGAGACTCAAACTCGAGAAGACCCTGGTAATAAATAACACTGATATAATTTGTGTGCAACTATGACAAGATAATATGGCTTTACAGAGCATTCAGTGAAACAAGCAATTAAATTAAACCTGAAAAACAGCCCCACCCTTGCTGCGGGCTTGCTTGCCCAGCCATGCTAAAAGAGACAAGATGGTTATCTCATCCTCGCCTCTGTCAAGTACATCGCCAATTTGCACCAAGACCTGAAGTCGCCCAAGTCCATAGGTTCACTTCCTAAGATCATTCACAATCCTTAACAGCATTGCGCATTTCAACATGATTTAACTCAGATCAAATCACAGCAGCGCACGCTTAATTTGAAAAACAAGAACGTAGTAGAAATCCAGCTACCGTGGTGCCTCCGGTCCATCGGTGTTTTCCGTCCTTGCTCATAACTCCAGCAAGTTGTAGAGCCCACTGCGCCCTTTCAAAATCTCCATGCAGATCACCAACTGCATCCAACCCTCATGCTTTATCACTCTCAACTTCCGCCACGAATTCAATACCCAACTACTCGGTGTTCTTCACCATCCACCTCACAAATGCAGCACGGCAAGTTTCATTTCAATATTTATCTAAATCTACCAAAACCCCAGGATATCCGCAAAACCAAGGATTCTTCCACATAAACCATCACCAATTCACAAAATTCGGAATTGCAACTTACTTGCTATGATTCTTCGATCAGGGGCGTACACAACAGTAGGTGGGTACTGACCACCCTCAAATTGAATCGCCGCCACGGATTCGTCCCCAAGGCTTTTCTTCACCAGCTCGTTATCACTCTGCGCCCCAATCCCATCGTTGAGCTCGAACGCACCACACCTCACCCCTACCCTATCCACTAAGCGACCGATTCGCCCACCACCGCTGCCCACACTACTCACTTGAAAGTACTCGCACCCACATTCAAAAAGTCTTGAGCTCCACTCGCGGCGCCATTGCGAGCACCACAAATAATCCCATGTCCCAACCACGACAAATGCACTTTCCCCTGCGACCGCAATCCCTCCGCGTGCAAGCCACTCAAGTCTCGCCCAGCAGAGCACGGGGTCGACAAACGCAAGGAATTGAGCGGCGAAACGACTGCCAAGGATGCCATATCTGCAAGGAGGATTACCACCACCACCAGCTGCACAACTGCCCAGCAAAAACCTCCACCAGGGCCTGTTCTTCCAGCATGACGAACACCCACAACAACTGCAACTCTATCTGCGAAATGGAACCCGTATGAGGCGCGATGGCAAGAAGAAAAGGGCTTGCACGCAGCGGGCAGGGAGGAGGGGCTTGACTGCGAGGTAGCCACGCCGGGATCATCCATGGCCACTGCCTGCCATGGCTCTGCCAAGCTAAAGCGAAAGCGTGGCCGTTGCTTGCCTCTGTCACCCGGCTCCTACTGCGCCTCCTCGTCTGCTTGCGTCCTCCCCCACAACGGCGACGGCGGCGTATGTACGAAGTCTGGTGCGAATACCGTACGCGCTGGGCAGATACTAACATACGCTGGTGTGAGTATACGTTCCTGGCGAGTTCCAAATCCTAAATCATATATTTTTCGGGCGGTCGAATAGCTTGAACCCAAGAAGTTGGATAATTTTTATTTATAATTATATTTATAATAATAAATTTTCTTTAAATATCTTTAAATAAATATCAAAAATATTGAAATAAATATTATAAATATTTTTCATCAAATATTTTTTATTCAATCACAAATAAGGTGCATTTAATCAACTTCATGTTAAAATGTCGCATTGTTTTTGTAAATTTCCTAAAGTATAATTGCAACTTTTTGAAAGATTATTTTAATTATACATCAAATTCAGGCCAAAGTCATTTAAAGTTTAGGATCATGATTGAGAATTAATGAGGTCTTCATTAAGGTTTTAGGTTAAGGTTGGGTTGTTAAAATATATAATAATAATAATTATTATTGGTTTTGAAATTATTTGAGATTAAAGGTTTAGTCTTAGAATTACAGATTTTAATATGTAAGGTAGTAAATTGTATGTTTTATGGAAAAATGTAGATAAAAGAGTGTTCAATGAATCCTCTTGAAACACAAAATAAATCTAATGTGTGATCTTTTGGAAGTGGTAAGAGAGAGAAATTGAAATATTTATTACTAATTTATTATGGCATATCCTTTGAAATTAATTCAAGAATAGATACTGATGGTTTTGAGGTATGTATGTGGTATTTTTATATCAAGTTCTCCAAACATTATAGAAAAATGTGATAATTATGTTAAAGATGTTAACAATATATCAAACATACAAGGTATTTGTAGAGATACTTGAGAAGGATTTGAAGTCTATATTGAGCATTTAAGGTTTTATTCAATCAAAAAGACATATTGAATAGAAACCAATGTTCAAATTTATGTAAGAAAATTGAACATATTACAAAGGTTTTTAACCACCTAATAACTTGTAACAATAATAGATTAGAGTTTTGGCTTATCTTAATTAAATTATATTTTATATTAAATAAATCATATTTGCTCATAGAAAATTGTGGAAAACAAAATTATTAAGAAGAGGCTATCTTCTAATTAAATTTTAAAAATAGGTCTTTAGAAAACTACATTAGGATTTAAAATGTTGTTGTAATGTAGGAAGTAATATGCTTTTAAATCATTATTCTAATAAATTTAAAGACAGTTTTTACTTTTGATATTGCAACACATAATGAAATGGAAGGCAATATGAGCTTTTTACATAACAGATTAATCTATGCAAATAGAGAAGAGGATTTTAAATGTTTTGGATTAGCAAAGCATCTATTATAAAGGTTGAAAGACTTACATTGTATAGAAGTTGGAGACTTGGATGCTTTAAAACCATTATCAAACATGATAAGTTTTGAAAATACATAATCTATAAAAGAAGTATAGACAATTATAGATCTTTTAGATAAGTATATAAATAAAAAAAGATTGGAACTTTTTTATACAATAAAAAAATGTTAGACAAAATGTATTTTATTTTTACAAAGAAGTGAGAATCCTAACCAATTTATGCCATCTCAACTTGATAACATATTATTTTACAAAAAAAAGAAATGCCAATAAAAAGTGGTGAATTTTTTAAGATAATATATATAAGAAAATGGAATTGATGCAAATAAATGTAAGTGACATATGACAAAAAAAAAGAGCAAGTATCTGATATTATTTTTTGTTGATATTATGAATCAAATTACAAAAGAGATGTGTTACTTCCATGACATGTGCATTATACATTGTGATCTAAAGCATGACGATATTTTGGCTAATGTTATGAACATGAAAATCATAGATAAGATTGTATGACATGCAATTTCAAAAGTGATTTATTTTAGAACATCTACAATTAAAATTGAAATAAATCTAGAAATAAATAAATAAATAATCATAGTATTGTTGTATATTTGGCTCTAGATGTATAAAAAATCAAACTTTAAACAATGACCATGTGTCTTTTTGAAGTAGTTGTTTATTATTTTTCCAATGATATATTCTATGATAATTTCAAAAAAATATCTATTTTATGGTATTTTTATAATAAAAGAGATGTTAAAAAGAATTTAAAAAGCTAAAAGATCAAGCTTATCTTCAAGTTATAATGAATTGAGTGACCTTATTAAAGAATTTTGGAGCCTAAATCATTTGGAACAACTAAAGTTTTGCAAATTTTTTGTGAAATATTGAACTTATTAATGTACAAGATTTTTATTGGAAATAATATGGTACATGCATAATATTTTGGAGCATCAAAAAAATCATCAAAATATTATTTCTAACAAACACTAATTTAATATCATTGGAAAGACTTTTAGTAAAAACTATAAAAAAGTATGTATTGAATTGATTGGATTGTTTGCAATTTATCTTTGCACAATTTTCTATTCTATAATGGTGGTTAGAAGCTTTATTACAAATACTAATTGACGAAATTAGGTTAAAATAATAATAATATAAAAACATACACCATTTTAATTTTTTTATTGATTTATAATTAAATTTTTAATTACAAATTGACTTATCTAAAAAAAGAAATATTTGATTCAATATAATATTTATCACAAATTACACATATTTGATTAATTTAGATATAAGTCATATTGATTCTTTGTATTATTTCTAAATAAATTAACTAAACATATCTTTGATTACTTTTACTATGTCAAGGTACTTAAGCTTAATATTATAGTCAAATAAGTTAGACAATAGTACATCTTTGACTACTTTTAATATGTTGTAATGGTCTACCTAGATATTATTATTAAATGAGTTGAGTAATGTCATATCTTTGACTACTTTACAAATGTGGAAGTACTCATGCTTAATAGCATGACTATATGAATTAGACAATCTTATATTTGTGTTTGTTTTATTATTTAGGAGTGGTATAAGCTTAATATCATTACCAAATGAATTAGGCAACCTCACAACTTTTGCTATCTTTGATAAAAATAAGGTGCTTATATTTGATATTATTTCTAAATAAATTAATAATTATTGAATCTTTACCTATCTTTAATATAAGTAAGTACTCATGCTTGATATTATAACCAAAGAAGTTGGGCAAACATCTTTGACTACTTTTTAATTTTTGAGGTATTCAAGCTTAATATCATTGTAAAATAAATTGAGAAATTTTATATTTTTAACTAAATTTATTAAAAATAATTAAAAAATAATAATAAATTATCAATATCAATAATATTGAGTAATATCTTTGTTTTTAATGGCTCTAATTAATAATGTTATAGTAAGATTTAGTTTATATTCTTTTATTTATTTTTATATATATATTTTTTGAAATTTTAAAATTATTTTAGAACTTACTAAGAATAATAGCTTGACATGTTTGTTGATTATTCTCCATTAGTTTATTATTATATTAGTAAGAAGACTTAACTAAGTTATACTTCATTTCAAAAGTTATATTATTGGTGGTACATAATAGCTTCATAGTATTATTTAATTTATAGCAATGCCATATTTTCATTATATTTCATTATAATAAAAATAAATTAAAAATTAAAATTACATATATATATATATATATATAGCTTTAATATTCAACTAGTATTGGAATACCACCAATTTGAAACTTAAAGATTGTTTTGTATAAAGTAAATATCCAAGAATTTAAAAGAGTATACAAATAGCTAAAACTTTGTAGAGGTGTAGAAATAAGATAGTTTATATTTGGAATTAATTTTTTTTTATTTTAATTGGATAATAATATGGATAAATCTTTTAAAAAATGATATGTCATTATAAATTATAGATAAAAAAATAATAATTTTATTTTTAAAATTAACTAAGAAGTTTTATAGTTAATCCAATTCAATAGAAGAATAAAATATAAAAAATAATAATTATTAATTTTAGGAATAAGAATATATTTTAGAATCATTATAATTTTTATTTTATTTTATTTAAGTGTATATATTATTTATTTATTTATTTATTTGTATATGAATTTAATTAGCAATATATATTCCACCATGACAACCTTTAATGCTACTACATTGTGTATATGTATATATGTATTGGTTGTTTTGCAAGCTTTAACTTGCAAGCATATAGAATAGTCTATACACTTCTAAAGGGTTCTAAGCACAATGTGGTCTTTCTTTTTTCAAGTAGTGGTGATTTGTTGATAGTACCTTTATTCTTTTGTTTGTTAGTAATGCCTTGGCTACTACATTTGATGTAGACCCAGTGTTGGCTTTGTTTTTGCCTAAAACTAGCTCCCACATTTCTTCCATTTTAAATTTTATTTATATTTTTTGTTTGTAGAAAGTATACCATAAGCCATTAAACCTTGGCCATTCATTGGTAGTGAGGTTGTTGGTAGCCATGTTGACAATATTATTTGTCTAATTTTTTCTAAGTATAAATATTCTATCCTTCACCTTACTTTATTTAAAAAAAAAATGTAATTTTTAGACCTTTTTTTTAGAAATGATACAATATTAATAGAACTAATACTACTTAGTTCTTTGTGAATCTACATAATGTTTATAAATAACTAAGTAATAAAAGAATAGATTTTAATGAAAGAGGCTCTATTAGTGCCCAAGTTTCTATACACAACATCTTTAGTACAACCCTCCTAAATTTATTCAAAATTAAACAAAAATGTAAGTCATGTAGAGATTATAAAATCTAAATAATTCATTGAGATACTTGTGAAGCTTGGTGAAATATATGGTGACAAAGAGGTTGTGACCCAACAAGGATTGTGGCTACATAGTGGGGTAAATTGTAGTAAACATTATATCTCTTGTAAAGATTACATTTCTTTTTTTAAACTTGTTAAAGACCAATTTTGCACTAGAAGTTTGTATTCATGCTTTTAGCTAACATGAGACATAAAGTC